TTTTTTTCAGTAAAAAATTCGATGGGTGTAAGTGTCTCTTGATTATTCACAATTATACCCACACCCACATTTCCATTAAAATTAAACTATAAAAAACTTTATTGTCTCACATTGCTAACGAGAACTAAACATATATATTATATATGACCGATTGTTGACAAACTTGATTAAATTGACTTATTCATATTTTCATTGAATCGATCCATCAAGATGTTTACGTCAGTGGGAAGTGCCGAAAAAAGTAAATAATATTCTCGTGAATGAGAAAAAGTACAATAAGAGAAATGTAAATATCACTTGATTCCTTCCATATTTTCTGTGACAAATGAATTAAAATTTTCATATGATATGTATTGACTGATCAAGTTTGTTAGTTCAATAGCCTTATCATTACCAATCAAGCTTCAGGTAAAACAACGACCATTTTTTTGTTTTCATAGTCGATCAAATTTTATATAGTTTTTGTTTCCTGACCGAAAAACTTGATACTGAACAATACAAATTAAGATACATTCAGCTTAGTTATGAGACAGTCTAGCTAATTCTGCAACTATTAATAATTATTCAAGAAAGAGATACCTTGATATAATGGTTCAAACAAATTCAAAGTCTATTAAGCATGTCATTCTCTCTCTCTCGTCGTTTTCTTGATTTTATTTCTTGATGAGCCTTAACAAAAAGTTCTTATTACTTTTGTTTTTAATAGTACATGCCAATGGTAACTCTATTGATTAGAAAGGACATATTATTTTTGTTCACTTTCTATTTATTTCCATCGATTCTGTTGGCGGCTTCTCTTCAAATTCCTTTTATCGAAAATGTCACTCTCACAACAATGTATCTTTCGGACAATACTCGGCTAATTAATGGGACATGTAATCAATGTCTTTGCATTTCTCAAATCAATTATTCGGCTTTAAATTGTTTCCCAAATTTAACTTGTCAGTTGTTTCCTATTTTTCCACTTAACTATGACATTGAAGTGACATCAAATGCTCGTATCTATTTTCCAAATCAGGTGTTTCCTAATGCTAGCCAATGTATGCCCAACATAACTTATTTATTAAACAAACTAAAACTCGCTAATCTCATTTCCAAGACAGTGTCCAATCCTCGTGATGCAGTCATTGATAATAATGGTTATTTAGTAACAATTGAAACGTATAACAATACTCTCATTCGTTTTGATCCCGTAACTCTGAATATAACCAAAAAAATATCAATTCCGAATGTACCATCAAACGTTGAAAAAGATGTCGTCACTTACTTCAACGGTTCCTACTATATTGTAGCACATTCGGACCCAATAACCGTAATTGATAGTAACAATCTGACAGTAATCTCAAATATTTCAACTTCTATGATTGGAATACGTGATATAATATTTCTTAATAATGGTCAAATGATGGTTGGCTGTTCCTGTGACAACAACTCTCTTGTATTTTTAAATCGAACAAGTCTTGAACCCATCAAATATAAGTTCGCTTTTCGTCAGTCAACTAGTTTTGCCTGTCCGCATGGAATGTGGCGTGTGAATGATACTTTTTTCTATGTCACCGCCTATACCAATATGTCGCTGCACTCTTTTAGTTCGAATGGGAATTTGGGACATTGGAACGAAACTTTAGTTTTCATGACATCATCGGGTCAGTCCGGCAGTGGAGCTGCTCGTGTGACAATTGATGGTAGTGGTCGGTTTTGGTTTGCTTACGAGACAGACACTGTTTTGATATACGATCAAGAGGGAACACAACTCGGTAATTTGACAATACCAAATTCGCAAATTTTTGATATTAAAATAATGGATAACTATTTAATGTATTTTACTGCGGCAAAAACGAGTCAAGTTATGCGCTTAGATCCAAATATTCAGTGCTGATTTTAGGGTGTGGGTGTGGGTGTGTATATTACTTTCACTCACATCCACACCCATTTTTTTATTTAAGAATCAAGCGTGGTTATAAAAAGATTTATTGAATATTTTAGTGCATCATATTTATTTTTTCTCATTAGCCGTTGAATTATTTGGTGATACTTGTGAATGAGATGCAGCGGCCGTCATAATAGCATTTCTTGTTTGTTCTTCTATGTCTTGCTCGCTTGCTGCTCGTGCTGTATCTTGGTTCTGGATAGTCGCTTGTGGTGATAGATCATCGGCGGTGTTAGTTGTTGCTTGGTTCGGGACAACATTAAAATTATCACGTCCCGATGATGGATGAAGCATTCGTACTTTTTCCATTTTTTTGTCTGTCGTTAATTTGAAAGAAAAAATAAATTATTTTTAGGATAATTTTTACACAAGCGTACAACTAACGACTCAGTCTAACACTATTTCAATTGGATTTCTCTGAGATAAAAATATGAAAAGTGATAGAACTGCTTTCTAAACTTTGTCAATTACTATGATACATAAAGTATTTAATAATAATGCATCATATTTTGTGAGGAGAATAAATGATATATAGTACATGATATGCAATAGTGCAACCAAAAATATATTTGTAAAATTCTCACTGAGATCGTAATTACTATAGGATAAATCCTTTTGTATGACACGTATTTCTATTATTCACAATATATTCATAAAACATTACTTACTTCTGTACTTTGTCTTTTTTTATAGAATGAAATAAAAGTATATGAATGACAAACAAGTGTTTGCATATGATGAAAATAAAATATATAAAAAAGCACATGGCATCTTGGGCAACAAGTAAGCAAAAGAAAAGAAATGAAACGACGACGAAGTCGAGAGGAAAGAAGAAAAAAATTATCCTCTTTCTCAACAGCAACTTTATTACCATATGTTATTTTTCTTTTTGGTTTTTTCCCAGAGACTCTTTTTTGTCAACTATTTAAATCGTTGCATATATTTTTTTTATATAAATCTATTCATTCACATTAAACACTATATCCATGGCAAATATCAATCTCATTGATTTACCAATTGAACTTCTCCACTGTATTTTCGATCACCTCGATACGATGACTATTCTTTATTCGCTTCGTCCAGTATGTAAAAAAATCTATAATGCGATAATGTCTTATAATAGATTTCAACTGAACATAAACTGGTCATCTCGGCGCAATCTGTTATTTGTTACTCATTTAATTCCTTCTCAAAATGTTAGCTCTATAGTTTCCCAGGATCATGGCACGTTTACAAAAAATATAATCAATTCACTTCTCAAAAATTTCAACATTAAACAATACTCACAACTGAAGTCATTGAGTTTTAACCGAAGTGATCTTGTTGAGTGTAATTACTTCATTGATACTGACGATTTGATCGAGAAAATAATACTACCAGTTCATTTTACACTCAAATATTTAAAACTTCCTATTTGCACTTATTCTCAATATCACCTTATTCTTCGTACATTACCAATCTTAAACACATTTGTCATAGATTCTTTTTCTCTTAAAACCGATAATGAGATCATTAATTCAGGACAACTCAATGCAAGATATCACCGATTAACATCTTTAACTATACATGATTGCAAATTGCCACTTGAACGCCTTCGATCAATACTTATCACGGTACCGTCTTTAACCTATCTTAAATTGGTATCCTGTAGATCTGTATATGGTTCTGTCTTTGATGGTTCATTTTGGGAACAATTTATACAAACACGTTTTCCACAACTGAAAAAATTTGAGTTTTGCTTTACTTATCCTATCGAAAGTGATATTACCATACGCAGTGTGAATTCAATTATTACTTCATTTCGATCATCATTTTGGATACATGAGAAACGATGGTTTACTATTTGCGATCATTTTATAAAATCAAGACAGATCGCTGTCTATACTAAACCGATCTGTATGAATCGATATGAGACATTGATCAGATGTGAAGCTATGCCAGTGAATAGTAACTGTCGTTTAATTGAATATTCTAACAATATTGAAAATAAGGTATGTAATCATTCGAGATTATCTGTTAATAATATTTCTTTTTTCATATAGACCCTTACAACACTGGATCTTAAAGGATGTCGTATTGGTGGGCAAGTCATTCAAGATTTAGCTGATGGATTATCTGATGATACAGTAAATTTAATTTGTTCACATTTTTTAATGTGCATTGACGATTTTATACTTTAGATTATCAAAACACTCGATCTTCAAGACGCACGTCTTACAAACAATGTGCTAGAAAAGCTAACTGATGTACTGCGAAAGTGTACAGTAAATATCTTTTTATGTGTCCTGGTTTCTTTCTTTTACTAATCATTATCTATTATAGCAACTCACCACGCTTTATCTTGGAAACAATCAATTTGAATCGTTAGAAACACAGCATCTGGCTACATTACTACAATCTAATTTAGTGAATATGATTGATTCTATTTTCAATATTGCATATTTTAGTTTTTCTTTATGTAGACAATTAAAACACTTCATATTCCATTTAACACTATTAGAAATGACGGAATACAATATATAGTCAACGGATTAGAAGGCAATAAAGTATGTTTGATAATATTTCCGTCTCATTGATGTTGACAATTTTTTCTTATATCCATAGGCACTTACTACATTAAATCTTCAATTTTGTGAGATTGAAGATAGTGGAGTACAATATCTTGCGCTACTGTTAATGAATAGTACGGTAATATTTATTGTGCTGCTTGTGTTTTTTTCTATATAATATTCTCAATTTCTTTCAATTAGACACTCTTGTCGTTAAATCTTAGTAATAATTATTTAGGAGTATTAGGAACACAATACCTTTGTCATGCATTACAGCAAAATATTGTTCGTATCATTGATTTTTTCGAATCGCTTGCTTCAAAATTTGATTTTCTTTGATAGACACTTACCACATTAGACCTAAGTGGAAACAATCTTGGGATTGAAGGAGCAAAAGTTTTGGCTGATGCATTACCATGCATGACAGTAGATACAATTTGTATTTAAATTCTTTTACTTTTCATTTCATTTTCAATCAATGTAGACACTTGTCACATTAAATATATTAAAAACTCAAATATTGGATCAAGGAGCTCAAGCAATAGCACTTGCATTGTTATCTAATACAGTAATATTATTTTTCATTTATTTTGATCCATCTACATATTGGTTTTATTGTCTATTTAGTCACTAAAAGCACTCGATCTACGTGGAAATTGTATTGAAGAACCCGGAGCACAACAATTCATTCATGTATTACGAAATAATATAGTATAAAATTTGACTTTTGTTATTCATAGTGAATTTATTGTTATTTTTGATTTAGTGGCTTGTTTCATTGAATCTTCTATACAACAGAATTGATGACATTACTATGCAAACGATTGATACATTACTTCTATATAATAATAAATTGCTTCGCTCAAAGTAACCCAAGATTTCCTTAATCAAAAACAATTGTTTATTTTGTTGTTTTGTTTTATCATACCTACTCGAGAATGAATTATATTTATATTTTTTTTTGCTTTTCGTGCGTTCATCTTTACAGTAAATCTTGAGGGTGTGGGTGTGGGGTGTGTGAGAGCGTGCGTCTGGGTATTTCTTATTGGAAAAAAGTAAAATAAAAAATTCAAACCTTAAAATTTTGAGTATAATACATAAGATTAAATAAGTTAGAACAAATATTTATTGAATTGATTATTAATAAAGCTTAAATATTTTGTTAAAAGTATAGGAAAAATCTTTTCATTTGTCAGGTACTTTACTTATATCAACAAAAACAGTATGTACACGTGCACGACTAAAAAAA